TTCGTGTGTTAATAGACGTTACTTTCCTAAAATACTAATCTTTACCAGTCTTTAAACTTCCTATACCTACAGCAAGTATGCCGAAAATCCTTAGATACCTTATTAAGTGGTACATGCTTCAAGTATGATTCAAGAGGGTTACAGATGGTTTGAGGCAACTTTTCCCTCGCATTACGCGATGGATGTTGAGATCAAAAGGAAGGATTATCACTCAATTAGCAGCATATGATTCAATTTTGATAAGGAATTTGGGTGCGATTTCGATTTCTCTGTAGCTTATTGTAATCTCGATTTTAATCATGTTTTACTAGAGTTTTGGACCCTCTTTACAATTTGGCGAGTTGCCAAAACAAGGCTATGGCGTTTCGTCTTTCTGGTTCGTTTAAAAAATCATTTTTTTTGCGAACGACAATTTAAATCCTGGGAAATGCTGATTACGACTTCATAGGTTCGATTTTCTCCCATTTTCTGTCTATTTCATGTCTAATTTCGCCTGGTATTTTCCGCCCCACCGCAATTTTTCCCAGCTTCTCAGCCCCTATCTACCCCGGCTCAAATTCAAATTTTCAAACGCAATGAGTCAACCGGAGACGCTTCCCATACACTCTCACCCCTTCCCTTCGTTTCGCTAATGTCTTTTGGCGGAATTGGGCACCCCTTGAAGGGGTGGAAGCGAGGGAGGCAGAGAGATAGATAGATAGATAGAGAGAGAGATAGTGAGAGAGAGAGAGAGAAGGGCATGAAAATGCACCCCGAAGACTGTCCAAACAACAGCTTCCCCCAATGGATCCGGGGTCCGGCGCCCTTGGGATGCAAATGGCGATCGATCGATGGGTGCCCTCCGGGGTGTCGGTTGACATCATTGGCCCTTTGGATTCAAAAACACGTATCCGCCACCTGGTTGTTAATGGGAGTTTAATATCCTTTTCTTGGTCAATCGCTTTAAATTATTTTTAAATGTATAACTTTGATAGAGCAGAGGTATGTCCATTTCGATACCCAGATTCTGCTCCAAAAAAACGAGGTCTCTCTAAGTGTTACCCTATAATTGATCAATTTTAATCTCCCGGCTTTAGTTACACATTTTAATTCATATATTTTAGGTTTATTTGTCCATTTCTTAACATATCTATTTTTACGCTTTTTCGTGCCCTTTCCGGGCGACTCATCCTCTACCCCCCATTTGACCATATTTATCTCCTAGCGCCCATCTTTATAGCGGTGTTTTTGTTTGACCTTATTCCGCCTGCAAGAGCATTCCGACAGATTCCCCTCACGATGAGGGGCTGGCGCCTCCAAGATTTGAATAGGAAAGGCGCCTACTGGCTGGTTGCCAATTTTTAGGGTTGACTTGCTGAGGCGCTATTTTTTTTTTGTTTTTAATGATCCTTAACATTATTTCTCTTTCTTTTCCTGTCCCCCCCCCCCCCCCCTTCTGGGTTTGTGGGGGTCCCTTCACTTATAAAAAAAAACCCCCCCCCCCCAAAAAAAAAAAAAAAAAAAAAACCCCCCCCCCCCCCCCCAACCCCCCCACCCCCCCCCCCCCCCCCAAAACCCCCCAAACCCCCCCTCCCATTTTTTTTTTTCTTTTTTTTTTTTTTTTTTTTTTTTTCCAACCCTCTTTTTTTTTCCCTGGTCCCCCCCCCCGATCCCCTCCCCCCCCCCTCCCCTTTAATTTTTATTTTTTAAAAAAAAAAACCCCCTCCACCCCCCCCCAAAAATTAAAAAAAAAAAAAAAAAAAAAAAACCCCCCCCCCCCCACCCCCCACCCCAAACAATAACCAAAAGAAAAGAGACGCCCTCCAAATTATATTTTTTGGCCATGATCGACAAACCGCACAACTTCCACGACAAGATTTGGTGCGGTTCGTAGCTGTCGAGACCTAGTCGTTCAATTGAGTCGATTCTGTGGCTTTATAGTCCCTTTAATATCGATATACGATTGGTGATACCTTCCAAATCATAATTCGCCTGCTATCCGCGCCGAAAACCAGTTGTCACCACCCCTTTTAGCTTCACCCCCGCTTCAAACAGTTTACGAACACCTTCGCCCCCACCCTGCCCCGTATTTCAGCGCGTTCGGGTTGTTTGGCCCCGAAGGAGCTGTCGGGCCGCGCCTAGAGGTGGTTGTGGTGTGTTGATTGTTTCGGGTTAGCGCCCCCCAAGCAAAAACCCCCCAAAAAGCAGCTTGTCCACCCCCCAGATGAACCCAACCCCTTCGTTTTCTCGTGTTTTTGTATACCCGCTATTTGTCTATGCGTCCAAGGCGGATTTGGTTACAGGCGAACGACGCGCTGCGCGCCCGCTTCTAGAAGAGGTCCCAGAAGACATGCGCTGCCTGCTGGGTGACCCTCGAGTGCTTTTCGCTTCCGCGCGCCCCGCGCGCGCCTCCGATTCCGCAGCACCACTTTTTCCGCTCGCTCAGCCACGAGACAGCCAAACAACGGGGGCTAATCACCAGCGCGGGACCAGGGGGGCTAAACCAGCGCGGATTATGAGAGGTTTTTTGTGGAAGAGGAGTGAAGGACCGGTATGGACATGACGAGGCTTGTTGGGGTTTTGGAGACGATGGAAGTCTGGGATAAGCTATGCTTTACGTACTAATAATACTTTATGCTAATTTTAAGGCAAAGTTGAGATATCGCAATTAGGCATCCTAAGTATACTACCCCTGTCCCCTTTTTTAACCTTCCTTTTTTTTTTTTTTTTTTTTTTTTTTTTTTTTTTTAATGAATCCCCCCCCCCAAATTTCTTTTTTTTTTTTTAATTTTTTTTTTTAATTTTTTTTTTTTTAAAAATTTTTTTTTTTCTTTTTTTTTTTTTTTTTTTTTATAACCCTTTTTTTTTTTTTGTTCTCGCCAGATATTCCACTTTCGCTTTTGGCCAAATGGCCATCTCCTGGGTTTTTGCTGAACTCCTTAAACTTCTGCGGCGAATCTTGATAGTTTTCTTGACGTCTCATATGTGATTTTTGGTAATTTCGAAGAAATTGGGCGAGAACAATCGGATTATGAGCTTTTTGCCGCCGTGTTAGAACGTTCATGTCTTTTCTAGACTGTTCTCTGACCCCCGGCTTACGGTACTTTTCCTCAACGTCCTCGTTGTTGCCGCCCTAGACGCCTTTTTCGCCGGGGCCCCAAAACCGACTAATCACCCGCGTCGGGAGGGTTGGTCAACAACACCTGTGCTGTCCGACTGTCCTAATCGCGTAATTCTTTTTTTGGCCGTAACTCGCGGAAATTCTGAAATTTCCATGTTATATTTATTGCGCGGAATTTTAATTTTTCCAAAATGCGTTGAGTTTTTCTGTTAATGCTACCAAAAGTTAGTATAACGTAATGACGTAGATCCGCATTCTTCCCCTGAAAAATTCTTTATCTTCACCAACGCGGATTTCCTTGCACGGTCACGCCATCTCCCTGCAAGTTTTTCTCCTCGGTTAAGCCTTGCTGGAATTTTATCAAAAACAGGGCGTTCCCAGGGTCTTTTTGATCTTTTTCTGGACATTGGAACGCTGATAGTTCCTTGAAGCAACCTGCAATTTTTTTAAATTCTTTCGTGTTTTTGGAGCGAAATCTGTTCTTTGATTTTCACTTCTTTGTCCACCTAACAGCACCTCCTTCAAAGCGTCCGGTTACGCTAGGTTAAAGGAACTAGAAAGCTGAAAAATCTACCTCTACTGTCTCGACAATCACCAGGTTATCGGCAAAATTCTTACTTCCCTATTTTCATAGCATTTTTCAAGTGTTTCTTGGTCTTTCACGAAACTGTCGAGACCCAGTCGACCTGATGGGTAGTTTCTGGCGTTTCACAACTCCTTTAAAAGCCAAAGAATTGCGCGAGTTTCAGCGTTTTTGTCTAACTTTCCGTTCAGCTTCGTTTATCAAACAAAGGGCGTTCCCAAGCGCTGCTTTTTCTGTAGATTTTTGTAACAGCCAAGGGCCAATCTATCTCATCTATCTCCCCGCCTCACCAGTTTTATTGTTTGTTCTTTTCCGCCCCCATTCGATTCGAAAGGTTTGCTATCAGAGCCTAATCGCATTTCAATTGGCCCTCTCTGCCGCCCATGGATTTTCCGTTGCTGTGTCTTCAGCATTTTTACGACTGGCTAGTTGATGCCTTTTTTGGGGCATTAAATTGGTGGAGTGACCAGTCGTGAAAATGTTATGGCTACTAGAACGATAAAATTAGAGACGATACAAAACTTATAACGGTTTAATTTGATGGCGGTTTTTCAATAACAATGAATTGCTAGCAACTGATGAAAAATCTGAAATAGCAGTTCTTCTAATATTTTAACATTGAGCTTCCGGTCTGGCTCTATCACTTTCTCACTCTTCTCTCACTTTCTCTCCCTCTCTCTCTCTCTCTCTATCTATCTCTCTCTCTCTCTCTCTCTCTCTCTCTCTCTCTCTCTTCATTCTAATTGCGACGGCGCGTTCTAATAATATTAATGCATCAACTTCCGTATTGCCCCAGGTCTTGTTTTAGCAGTCATCAGATCATCTGTGATGCAATTTGCGCTGTTCTTTGATCTCATAATCATACAAACTACAAATTTTTCGGAAAAACTGTTTTAGCTAAATGATTTTTTAACCCTCAAGAAGTTCAGTATTTTCTTGTTTTTGCAGTGTCTCTTTTCCTGTTTTGACTATAAAAAATTTACATTTTTTTGCAGAAACTCCAACCTATCAAGAACTACAGCAAAAACCACACGTTCGATGTCGTCGGTGGACGTCTCGGATTTGCCGAAGGGCTTCTGGGAGATTGGGAATTACCGGTGTGTTTGGCGTTCAAAACTTCTCTCGGCCTCAGAAGACGTTCAGCAAATAAATCATCTACTTTTCATTTGCAGCCACAACGTTCGGCGCATCAAAGATGGCGTTGATCAACTGGACGATTTTTCAAAGATGTGCCGCGAACGGGCAGAGATCGAGGGGAAATACGCAAAGGCACTGCAGACGTTTCATCAGAAATGGAGGGCCCATTTTGAGCAAACGATGACGCCGAGTGCTACAAGGTATAGTAGAGATTTAGTATAGTAGCTTCATGGACTTTAAAGGCACTTTTTTATAAGAGCTGTACACCAACCGGCAAAAGTTGATCACATTTGTTTTCTTGAACTTCTACAGCGATTTCCCGGAAATTCTGGGCTATAAAATAGCTAATTTACAACGTACTATAGGCAAAATTACATGCTGTTCCGAATTTTACAATTTTGCAGCGGGAATAATTGAGTTTTGCTGTAAAAATCGGCTTGAAGTTTTACCTAAGAAATGCGGAAAAAATAACGTTTTGGTGGGATGTATGCGGAATTTTTAGTAAAAGGATAAAGATAATAAAGGATTGAAAATTTAAGGGGCCATCAAAAAAGAATCCTGCTTATTAAGCTACCGTAAAAATAAACCTTCACTTAACTTTTTAGACAATGCCTAACTGACCTCCTGAACGAGAGCGACCATCTGGCAAATTTGCATGCGATGGCGAGGGATAGACTGTGTGATGAGGTCGGTTTATGGATTCTGCCCTCGCTTTTTTTTATAGGCTCGAATCTATGCATTTTTTAGCATCCTTTTAATTGATATCATGATTCAATGCAGGTTTACTAGATCTTTTTTCAGATCGTAAAAACCCTGGCCCTATTCCGCAAGGAAAACCATCACCCATCAGCCTTCAGGGCCCCGAAGGAAATCAGGGAAATCGAGGATGCTTTTGAGAAGGTATGAAAGTTACCTTAATCCCGGAATTATCCGATTTTTAGGCCCAAAGACAGTGGAAGAAGCTACACGAGAAAAATGAGTCGGCCAAGAAGTCGTATTATAACGGTAAGCCTAAGCTAAGCCTGAAACCAAGCCGAAAACCTAGGCCTAAGCCAAGCCTAAGCCAAGCCTAAGCCAAGCCTAAGCCAAGCCTAAGCCAGGCCTAAGCCTGTCCCTTAAACCTTGCATCCGAAAAAGCCACATTTTCAGCTTGTCGAGCCGAACGCAGCGCAGCTGTCCTCCTCGCCAACGCGCAGCAAGATACCTCCGTTTCCGTAGATGGCACTCAGAAAATTCGGGTTTGTAGCGTCATTCAATTTTCGTATTTTCCTTTTTCTAGGATCGCTGTGACAAGGCCCACGATGAGGTGCAAAGAACAAAGCAAAATTACGAGAAATATTTGGCCGAGATCGAGACATACAAGGTAAGCAATCTTGGATTAAGATATTAAACTTTGGGACGCGACCAAAATCACGGAGTAATTTTTAGACGCCCTACATGGAGAACATGACGTTCGTCTTTGCCAAATGCCAGCAGATGGAGCTGAAACGGCTAAAGTTCTTCCAGGAGATGATCCAGGGAACGGAGCACGTCTTGTTGGACTTGATTCGGAATAACAAGTGAGTTTACGTTTTTTTTTAGTTTTTCTAAATTAGCGCAACCGAAGTAAGCATATAGCGGGTTAGAAAGTCCATTAAACTCAGAATTAAACTCGAAATTTCAGATTCAACCAATTACACGATCAAATCAACCTGCATCTCCGGGCCACCGACGACGCCGTCCTGAATCAAGATCTGAAGACCTGGAGCCAGGTGTATGGAGTGGACGCGCAAATGCACTGGCCGGGCTTTGAGGTAATAATGACTTCTTTTTTATGAAAATTAGAAAATACCGGCATCAACCCGAAGAACCCTTTCTTCCGAGGTTTAACCTTTCTGTTAGTCGGCAAAAGTTTCTTACGATACTTTGGACCTTCTTTCCGAGGACACAAAAACGCAAAATGATCTCGGGCGGGATCGAACCGCCGACCTTCTGTGTGTTAGACAGATGTGATAACCACTACACCACGAGACCGATGCGTGATAGGGAGAGGGGAGGGTTGACAAGGGAGGGGAGGCCCGACCCGGGCAGGGACTGACTGACTGACAGGCCAAACAGGGATGCCAGTAAGTTTCGGAAGTTACGGTGGTCGTAGATAAAATTTGAATAGACTGTAAAAAAGCATATAAATTTAAGTTTTCTATAAAGTCGTTATTGACCATACTCAAAGTACCTTTTCAGGAGTACCGTCCCGAAATGCGCGAAATCTCGGCCCGAAAGAGCTCGACAAAGGACAACTCTGGGGGCGTGGTGCTGACACGACAAATTATCAAGGATGAAGACCCACTCCCGCAGCGTACAACGGTGGAAAAATTCCGGCAAATGGACAAGATGTAAGTGACTCAACGAATAGCGGAGTTTTTAAAGTCTTAGAAGTCGAATCACTCACTTTTTTTAGCGAAACCGGAAGTCACAGAAGCCTGCCGGGGAGCAGCCAGAATAGTGATAGTGGAAAACAAGGGGTAGGCTACCTTTTGAAAATTTTCAGGTTAAAAACAAACTTTTTAGAGCAGCAGCGACTCTGACACAAACACATTTGACTCCCAGAAGAGCGGCCAGAAGAATAGAATTAATAAGGTATGGTTTTCCGAGGAATAGGAAATTTCTAGAAGTTTAACGTTTAAATTTGTATAAAATATATTTATTTAGTTCTTAAGGCTATTTTTCGTCTCGTAATAAATAAAATGGACATTTTCTTAAAGTAACGGTATTAAAAGATGCAATAAAATTTTATTTAAACAATTTAAGGAATGTTTTTCAGTTCCAAAAAGCAACAAACAACAACTACCCTCAAGAAAACCGATGGGACTCCCTAAAATCCGCCCAGCACCACCAGCCGTTAAATCAGTCAAATTCCCTGGTTTCGTCCGGTGCGTCCACCCTTCCTCCACAGTCACAGACGCCCGACTCGGAGAAGTTCAGCGAGTTTGATGATTATCAGAAGGTAGGTTGATTTCATGTTCTTTCTCTCTCTATCTCTCTCTCTCTCACTCTCTTTCCCAAATACAGTAAAAGGACCAAGGAATTGTACGTTAAACCCTGTGGTTATAGCAACTCGGCACGGTACTCTACGACTACTCGCCAATCGAAAATGACGAGATTGGACTGAAAAAAGGTGAGCAAGGCTGACCGATCAAAGTGATGCTCGTTAAGCTCACAAAACTACTTAACGGAACCACCAATACCGAAAATCGACCCCTAGTCTCAGCTGGGTCTCGACATTTCCGCGCGGATTTGACACTGAATTAAAAACTGAATTGAAACCTATCGCCTTTATTTTGGGCAGCTTTTCAAAGACTGAGATGTGTATTTTGAATTTTCGCGTAGGCGTCGAGTCCCAGTTGTTTGAAGGGGTTAATTTTGGAGCTTTCGGATACCGTTAAACATTTATATCCAATTGTAATTAAGTTAATAACCATAAATTTCAGGCGAAACCATCGAAGTCCTCTCGGAGCCCGACTCACTTGGCTGGTGCACTGGCAGGAAAAACGGGCTTACCGGCCTGTTTCCGGCCAGTTACGTGCAAGTTTAACTTAAAAAATGCCTGAATAAATTGTCTTTTTTATGTCCTTTTCTGCCAGATCTGTCACTACTCAATCGCTACCATCCGATATTTGCTCCGTTTTTTTACTTGACTTTCACTTGGTTTTTTTGTAAAATTTGCCATTGTCCAGCCATTAACTTCCACGTAAATTGTAGTCAATTCCCAATGCCCGGCTCCTGAACTATACAAAATGTGATCATATTGATTGAATTCTTGTAAAAATAAAGAAATAAATGTTTTATCAATAAGAAAACACCGTAATTCTAATAAATTACTAACATTTTTTTAGATAACAGGAACGTATCTCGAGGACGAGAACTTTTGACGAAACAGCTCTTGAGCCTTATGGAAATCTTTGAGCGATGGTAGCTTCATCGGGCTGCAGTACATATACTAAAATTCATAGTCAAATTAGTATCCCGTTTTCAAACCCGATTTGCCAATCCTGTTAGCGACTCGATACGGCAGCGATCTGCGCCGAAGACGGAGGTGTATTTTTTGAGAAACTGTAAAACCATGGGAGTAAGCTATAGAAGTCTTACTTCTTTTTCGATTTTCAGCTTCTTATGGCCAATTACTAGTAGATTAAAGACGATTATACCTAAAAATGGATCGATATCGGGGAGTGAGTGAGAGAAAAGAGAGCGCGAGAGTGTGAGATAGAGAGAGCGAGCGAGAGAGCTAGAGCTAGATAGAAAGATATTGAGAGAGGCCGTGAGTGAGAAAGAGGGAGACAGCGAGAGAGTGATAGAAAGAGAGACAGACACCGAGAGTGTGAGAAAGAGAATCAGAGATAGTGAGAGAGCGAGAAGGAGAGAGAGAGAGAGGGAGAGAGAGGGAGAGAGAGAGAGAGAGAGAGAGAGAGAGAGAGAGATGATACTTACCACTCTTCCGGATAAAACTCTTCAAATTCTTGATAAAAGCCTTTTCAGTAAAAAATTCGATAGGGCAAAGCATGTCATGCTTTGCATCGTTGTAACAAGCATCTATCAGAATAGCGTCAAAAATATTGTCTAAAATGAGCCATCTTTAGGGACTATAACCCGTAAGCCACCATTCCCAACCGCCAGCTGATTTTTTACGAATTGGACGCCGTCTTGGATTATAATGCGGGAAAGCTTGTCTTCCACAACCTGAAAACGCTTTCAAAAGTGCCATATTTGCATAAAATATTATGTATTTAAGGCTTACATTAAACTGCTCGATAGCCATCGGTTTCGTAGCCGGGTTGATGTCGACCATCGTCACGTTCATCTGAAGTAATTTTTAGACGGTAGCTTACATGCATTCAGAGTATCGATTTTCCTTTCGTATAAACTACGATGCCCTATCGCTCAATAGACTATCGTTGATAAATTAAGTCTAATAACTCGCATTCGGAAACGTGGCCGACACAAAATTATTCATCACCCCACCGCCCAGCCCGATGAAGAGTATATCACCAGCTACCGTTTCTGAATTAAAGCAGTGTCTCAAGGTATCGAAATTAGCTTACCTGTCATCCCCAAGGACTGAGTAGCAAATATGGCAGATATCATCGAGAATAGGTACCCGATTTTTGGGATGAATTTCTTATCGACCTTCCAGCGGCTGGTGTCGGTATTTTCGAGGGTGTACTCTAAAATGAATACAAAAGAGTATGGTGTATATAATTTAACTTCATATACTACTTCCGTTTCCTTTGAAAAGCTGATTTGGAAACTTACTGGCATCCCTGTTTGGGCTGTCAGTCAGTTAGTCCCTCCCCTGGTAGGGCCTCCCCTGTCCTGTCAACCTCTCCCCTGTCCCCCGTCACCCATCGGTCTCGTGGTGTAGTGGTTATCACATCTGTCTAACACACAGAAGGTCGGCGGTTCGATCCCGCCCGAGATCATTTTGCGTTTTTGGATTTGTAAAGGCTTCAGAAGCTTGGCAGATACTTTTTGCCGATTAATACGTTTCAATTTGACGCTCATTTGGCCGGCGAATCCGGTATCAATTTATGCTGCCTGCACCTTCTGTTTACCCATTTTTCTTGTAAAAAACCTACCCGTTGGTATCAATAACGCCGCTTCCACCAATATCACATTTGCCAGTGTGTTCGGTTTCACCACTCTCGCTGGACCGTCGCTAAATTCGGCTGAATTTGCATAATTTTTAAATACCAACGTCTTTCTACCAGTATCCCAATAATCGCTAACAATAAAACACGTTTCCTTCCAGCAATATTCCCCACGAAAGGCTGGGCTAGCAATCCGGTCCTGAATTAGCAACGTTAAGGTAAACTTCAAAACTTAAAAGTTTTGGCTTACCTTGACGATATCAAGAAACTGCTCTCGAGACATTTCGTTTTTGGGTTGGGCCGGAGTTTGAAATTGATAGATGGCGAACATGAGGATGGCAGAAAGGATCTGAAAAGTCGATTTAAATAAATATAACTATCTTCTCGCTCTCCCTCTCGCTCTCTCTCTCTCGCTCTCTCTCTCTATCGCTCTCTCTCTCTCTTTATTTCGCCATCAACATTTATCTAACGCTTAATCAATTACCACATTAACTACGCAAACTTACCAACAACGGCCATCGCAGCCCCCTTGATCGCATGGCCGTCGCACATTGCCTCCTCTTCTTCACGCAACTCTGCAAAAAATTGAGACGATCATTATTTAGGAGTGAGCCATCGTGATGACTGGCCCTTTCTGAAACGCAGGCCATGTGCAGCATTTTTGAGGCCGGAGAGGCATTGGAAAATTGGACAAAATATTCCGAGGTGCGCCACGGCTTAAAGGAGACTATTTTGGTAGCAAGTGTCACCGCCAGGAAAAGCCAATCCAGAATAAAAATTAGGCCAAAACAACCCCGCCCCAAAGGGTTGGCAGGTTGCCGAATTGGTATTGTGAAAGACAATGATGTGCTTGAGCCTAGAATTAAAATTCTAGAAAGGGTAATATGACTGATTTGTGTATTTTGTCAATTAAAAGCAGCTGTGGATAGCCATTAGCAGCTAGGCTACCTGATCGGGCCCATTCACTAGTAATGCATCGTGTTCTCCCGAATTCAACATCGGAAGTAGTATAGCCTTGTAAAAAGGGGTCCAACTGTCAGCCTCTTTCGATCCGGGCCCGATTCCGCTTGCAAAATTATATGCGCACAATAAGTAACCGCAGCTTTTTCGGGAGATCGATTCGAGCCGGCAAACTTGGACCGTAAGTTTTCAAGCATAAAAAAGGGGTTGTTTATCAACTCCGCGAAGTTTGTGGAACGACAGGTGGTAATTGATACGTAGATTTATTAGAGTAATTCAGAATAGTGGTGATTTATGGAGTTCACCTGCTGTGATTTTTTTAGTCTTTCAGATGAAACACCGGCTCGGCCTGGCATCTTGAACTGCTCGAAAACCCTTCCGGTTAGATGTCTTATTTTTCTGAGCGGTGGTTGAACTCCTCTGCAGTTCACTAACTTTCCAGGGATGCGATTTCGATTGTATCTTTGAATTCCGCTCCACTGAACGTCTTGAAAACCTTGGTATGGCCTTTTTGGAGTTAGGGTTTTGAGCAGTTCAAGATGCCAGGCCGGCGGTCACTTCTGTAAAATTGAAAGGAACTACGGATTTTATTGTTATGTTTTTTTAGTCATTACATAAAAATAATTATTTTGTGAGGTCAATTCATGGATTTGCCGACTGCCAACCGTGCATTTTCCAAGACTTGGAGCTTTTCGCTTTTCCTTTCTTGTTTTGCCGCAAAATAACTACTTCGAAACCTGAAACATATTTACCAGACAAATCGCAAATACTGCCAATCAAAAATTTTTTTTTTTGATTACTATTAACGCTTCTGTTTTGTGCTATGTAATGACACAAACCAAGTCTTACGACAAAAACAGAAGCGTTAATAGTAATCAAAAATAAAAATTTTTGATTATCAGTATTTGCGATTTATCTGGTAAATATGTTTCGAGGGTCTCGAAGCTAGCAATTTTGCGGCAAACACAGAAAGGAAAAGCGAAAGCCCGTGTTTCGAAAAATGCACGGCAGGCAGTCGGCTAATCCATAATTGACCTCACTAAATAATATTTTTATATAATGACAGTGGTGCAATTTTCACTATGATTTGTTAGAAAGTCATTTATATACCGAAAATGATCAAAAAGCCATTAATGTACATGAAAATGTAATAATAAGCATAATTTAATGGATTTTATTACCCGGCACGCCTCATCTCCGGTCGAGAAAAAGCCGAGGTATCCAAGACGGTAGGTTACGGTAACGACCACGATTCCTTTGGAGGCCAATTGCCTGAAAAATGTTCGATATTTTAACTGATTTGTCTAGTAAATTCAATAAGCTTAAAAATTTAAAAATTAAGCCAAATTTAATGTAGTCATTTTTGATAATGGGCGTTCCATGCTGGCATTGATCGTTGTATTTTTCGTAAACTCGCACGAAATTCCGAAACATTGTTTTTGGACAGAATAACTCCTACTTTTTAGTTGTTTATGTTAATAATAATAATAATCATACCAAGAATATGGCGGGCTCCAGCAATTTCAGATCAGTTGGCAATTTAAAGAATTTAAAAAATTTCGAATATGATTTTTGCTCGAATCGCGGTTCTCAATTTTAATCAGGTTTTTTTGGGTCCTCTGCGACATTCCGACAACAGAAAACGAAATTGCAGATAATCGTTATTACAATCGGCAATGGGAACCACTCACTATTAATTCTTAGCGTGCATTATTAAGATTCACGTAACATTTTTTTCCAAAGCCTGAAAAGTACGTGTGATTTATGAATTAATTATTATGAAATTCGTTAAATTACTTACAATTAAATTAAATTAGACTGTATAGTATCCAATAAAACATAAAGTAATTGAATTGTTTTAATCTTTCCGCATTAGAGATACAGGGTGTCCCAAAAAAAAGCACCCCTCCGGCATTTCGCCGTATTACATCCCAACAGTCTCGAAATTGGACTGGAGGTGTATCAGACCCTAAATAACCACAATCCTGAGTTATAGCCCGATCGCTACAGTAGTTTTCGAGTAATCGTGAAATCACTGTTTTGTACGCGGTTCTTAACAGTTTTTTCGGCTATCTTTTTGGACTTTGCATCGATTTGCATCGATTTCCGGCTGCGAATCCCTAATTTCGCTTAATATCCGGGGGTGGCTTTGCGTTACAAAAATTGTTGAAATCAACGGTTATTTCACTAATTTTAATCAGAAAAAATAGCTAGGGGTAAAGAAGGCTTGCCGCTTCATTTTCACTTAATATTCGAAGCGTCGATTCCGACGAAAACCATATGAAAAACGGATAATAAAGTTTATTTTGTCCGTTTTCATATGGTTTCATCGGGATCGGCGCTCGAGTAAGTGAAGCGGCAGCGCCTTTGCTGACTATTTTCTGAGTTAAATTGGTGAAATAACCGTTGATTTCAACAATTTTGTGACGCAAAATCACCCCCGATATTAACGATTAGGATTCAGCAACATAACGTGCAAGTACAAAGTAAAAACGGTAAAGACTGCACTGTGATATCACGAAAACTACTGGCAGCGATCGGTATAACTCAGGATTGTGGTTGTTGAGGGTCTGATACACCTCTGGTCCAAATTTCGGACAGATCGGATGTAATACGGCAAAATGCCGGAGGGGTGCTTTTTTATGGGACACCCTGTATATTTGGAAAAGTACATTTTTGGGAGCTCAGGATTTTCACAAAAAAATAATTGTGACTCAGAAATTTAGATTTAGAATTAAAATTAATGAAATCTTATTACGTAAAATTAGGATTGATATGGTATGCCTCGAGGCCAAATCAAAAAGCAATTAAAATCCGCAAATGCTCAAGGTATTGATAAAGTTATGAAACACATACTTGCACAGCTTTTTCGGCACCAGCCGCGCTGGGCTGTCCATCACGAAGCCGCCGCCGTGGATGTAGAACAACACTGGGTACGTCTGAAATTATTTAAGTTTTTTCGACAAATATATAAATTGATTCTTATAATTTAATTAATTGAATAAAAACGTCTAGACTTTAATAAATTTAAGGAAATTCTGTATTACTTGCAAAAACTAAAATTATTTTTAAATAGCATTTTAAAAATCTAGGGTTACGGCTAAAAACAAATGTTTCCTTACAGTTATATAGATGGAAGTTATATAAGGTCATAATGCCGTTTCACTTCGAAATTGTTAAATATTTTAAAATTTAAATTTAAGGCAATTTTTTAACATTTGACGGATCCTAAACATTTTAATTAAATCGCTCGTCCGCTTTAATTATTAATTGCTCCTATTATTAATGATTTAATATATTCTATTACGTTAATAAATTGAAATACCTTTTCCCCATCGACGGCCGGCGCGAACACGTTCAAATAGAGACAATCCTCGGAGCAGGAAGCCTGGAAAGGAAAGGAATCAATGTTTCAAAAAACATTTGGTATTTTCTGGTACTCCGATAACTAATTCAGCCTTTTGGTTAGTCGGGTTCAGGGACGTAGCGTAATACAGGCCCCGGGGGCCCGGGCCCCCGAAATCGGCCGGGGCCCGAAAATTTCATAAGGGGGGACCCTTATGATTTTCATTTTCGCAAAAATTTTGCTGCCTGCGGCGCTATTTTTTTCACGTTTTTACGGCTATTTGTAGGGCTATGTAACCTTTTTTCCAAAAATTTTTGTCTGCGGCGCTGTTTTCTCGTTCATCTTTTCAGTTTTTTGGAAAAATTTTTTGGGCCCCCCGAAATTTTTTTTCTGGCTACGCCCCTGGTCGGGTTTCTTTGCGAATTCGAAAAAGCGAATTTTTCTTTTTAATCCTAATGCAATTTCTGATAAGGAATTTGATTCCTAAATTTTCGGTGCAAATAGAATAGCGGCGGTATCATCTATTTCAATATTCCAAATTTTTAGCTATTTTTGAGATTTTCAAGGTAAAAACCAGAGCCATCTCGGTTGAATGTAGAATGTTTCAAAAAATAACAAATATCGGGAAAGGTTTCGTTGGTTAATGTGGGGCCCTTATCGTTCTTAGCCTTTGGCTAAGAACTTTTTAAAACTTTTGCCTTTTTAAAAGGATAGACAAGGCATGCGGATGGATTATTCGCTGCCATAGAATAGCGGGGGCCTCAATCTTTTTAATATTTTGAATTTTTAACGATTTTCGCCATTTTCAAGGCCAATGGATCGACGACTGTTCAAAACCGAAAAAAGCCCCGTTTGAATTTAAATGTTCTAAAAAAGAACAAATATCGGGCGATATTTCGCTCGCTAATTTGTGCTGTTTATCTTTCTTAGCCTTTGCTTATTTTAAAAAAGGCGTGCAGATAGATTTGGTTAGCTTTCCATTTCCTATAGATTTTCCTACGGCTTGTCCTCTGGATTTCCCAGCGCGCCCGCGCCACGCAAAGCGTCGGTTTATCTTTCCAGTGCATAATCGGCTAAGAACCTATATAGAAGCGTGACGTAATGTTTCTGTCTGGAAGAAAATGTTTCAAAAAGAATGCATGTCTGGGAAATTTTTATTTGCTAATTCAGGTAAGGCAATACTCATTTCCCAATAAAAATGCCCCCTCTAACGCGACGTAAAATAAGTATAATAGTTACAACAAAAATAATAGTTACCGAATGATAGTTACACCATTGGAAAGCCCTTCCATAAAACTATGTTTTTATTCCGGAAGCGCTGTTTAACAAGCCATGTTGGCAAATTTTGCGGTTATTCGGGGTTGCGTACGCTTTCCAAGGGTGTAACTATGATTCCGGTCCGATACTTCTGCGTCGAGTTAGAGGCGGGTGTTTTTTTATTGGGACACCCCACAAGTTTTTCGCGCCCGCCCGGCACACGATTTTTGAAAACAATATGTTTTGACGAATGATGGACTTCTAAAAATTTCTTTCGCCTCAATCATCATGCGCGTTTTGTTTCTCGGTAATTTTTTCGGTTTTTAAAGTAATAAGTAATTCGAAGTAATAAAGAAAATAAAAATAAAAATTATCTAAAAATAATGTCTAAAAATTATCTAGCCTTATCGATTTTTACTCAGATAGAGCGTAGTAACTATTTCAATAATTTCTTAATTGAATTTTTGAAGCCTATTTTTAAAGGTGAGGAGGCCCTGCCCAGAATAAATTGGAAAGCCTCAATGAAATTTCGAGCCTTCCAAGACCCCTTAAACTCGAATTTTTAATTCTTTGCGCCAGTTGCCATTAATAAAAACCACTCACACTTTGCGTCAGCTTTTCCCAAAACATATCGCTTTGCAGGGAGCGGTTGCGGTATCGGGTGCATTTCAGTACTCCTTCCCATCTCTTGGCGGGCTGGGGTTTCTGGAAAAATGTTTTAATACGAATAGATAAACTAAAAAATATTTCTAAAAGGAATTGTCCTCGATTCTTTGCGTTTACGACATCCTACTATATATAAAAAAATAGTGTTTGTGTGTTTGTGTGTGAGTGTGTGCCACTTTGCATGCAACTTCCGTCAGGGTGTCCGGAGGATATCTCGAGAGAGGATGGGTTTGGGGAGGTGTTTGATACGTCATTAGATGCGTAATCGGCTGGAGATGACTGCACACATAGCGGATTTTGTAAAATATGTTGTTTTCAACATTTAAATTAAGTTTTTCGTAAAAATTCGGCCACCCACTTTGTTAGGATAAAATTAGCATACGCCGGAAGTTGCAGTAGCCTATATAAAGGCTTCAAGGGAGCATTTTTCGTTTTTTGTCTTCTTCCTTTTGCACAATTATGCAAAAGGAAGAACATCATAGGGTTAGACGGGGCCAGGGTTGAAAAGTCGCGAAGCGGCTTTTCAACCCTGGTCTATATTAATTTCTGTTCGCTGTTAGGCGTCCAAAAATACCCAAAGAGTCGCTGCTAGTTTGCCCCGTATACAGATTTCCCTACATTCCAATGAAATACAAATTATTTTATATAACAAACCATTTTTTGAGTTTAGATTTCATAGATGTTTCATTTTTTATTTTTGGTTTTTATATTGTATTTATCCACCCAAAAAGACCCAAACAATCGTTGCTAGCTTGCCCCCCATTATCCAGATTTTCTTACTTTCAAAATGAAAGCCAAATTCTTTTTAGGCAAACTAGATTTGTTATTGTTATTCTAGCATTGATTCCTGAACCATCACTCTGGAAAAACTTATAAGATTTCTAGATTTTTTCAAAAATCATGTTTCAAAAAAATAATACCCATCGAAGAATTGGAGATTTTAATTCTTCTTCGTGTCTGCGGTTTGAAAATGCTCCGGAAACGTTTTAAAAATTTAGCGATTAGTTTCTTTTCGATTATCTCAATTCCTCAAAGAATCCCTGCTAGCCCTCAAAGCAGACGGAAAACCAGCTTTGTGGGATTAAAAAAATATGTTTTGAAGAATTGTGAGGCTAACTGTCGAATTGGGTAAAAAGTATCCGCAAGTGTCTTTTTTTGATACAGTACAATACGATTTTTGGGGTTTATCTAATTTAACTTTTAAATATTATATTGCAATAATTATTTTTATAATTTCTTACCCGAAACCGTAGTTCCCCGACGGGTGGCTGGGCATAGGGAATGCCCTGGAACATGTCGCACTGGATGCCGTTCTGAAATAATAAATACAGTTTAGATGATTATAATGCCCTGTAAATTTTGCATTTTAATGAATAGTTCAGTAGTTCCTTTAATGCTTGATTTTACTATAAAATTAACTTAGCAACGCCGTCCTTTTCAATTTGCAAAATTTATTGTGTCTACCATCAGCTCGCCATTGGCGAAATCACTATAAAATGCATCATGGTAATTTCAAGATACATATATTTTTTAACGATGTTTACACTCGTTCTCAGTTGTCTGCTTCCTAATAATATGCATTCATTTTTTGGGTAATTTAAGTTACGTTGATTTTAAAAAGTCGTAGTCAAGCGTCAACTAGCTTGCCCGCAATCGTGTGAACATCATGATTTCATGAAACATATTTTCCAACCAAAAATGTTCCTTTGAATTGGCACTAGTACAGTGATTACATTAGACTAATTTCAGAGCGATAGTGTCGGTTCAGTCCCGTTCTGTTCCATATACAGTTACCCCCGCAGATAAGGTGTTTAAAGGGAATAGGAAGCCAAAATTGGTGTGTACGGGGGATCGAACCTACTGGCCAAAAACGAAAGGTTATGCCCAAAAGTATCAAATAATTGATTTCGGTTTCAAAAGGCTAAATATCTGAGAAAAATTAAATATTTCTGGGGCGTCGACTTTTTAGGTCGGCTCGAATTACATGTCGTAATGCCCTGGCAGGCGCTCAATTGCTCGATCTCAGTGATTCCTGGCTCAATTTGGAAAATAGAGAAAGCTAAAATGATTAAAATTGCTTGAGGAAGCCAGAAATAGCTTCAGTATTTTGAAATTCACGCTTTCCTTAATGCGAAGTTTTTGCGATAAAATTAACTTAGAAATGCCTCTGTTTTAAATTGAATTTTTTATTTGAAAATGCACAGGCGCCCATTGAATCAATCGCAAAGCCTTTTTGGTCGGTATTTCCAGAAACATCTATTTTTATAAAAAATGTTTACATCTTTCTAAAATTCTTCCTGCTAATAATATGCATTATGCATTATGACAATTGACAATTCGCTTGGTCTCAGCTTTACCAATACGGTGACTTCATGAAACATATTTTTCTCAAAAATTTAAATGTTTCTTTTAACTGGCGCCACAACGGTGGTACAATTAAACTAGTTTCGCTCGTCTTTTTGGCGTCCACGTCAATTACATGTCGTAATGTAAGGCGGTAATTCCACGATCTTGGTGATTACTGGGCCAATTTTAAAACCTGAAAAAGGTAGATGGATGAAAATCGCCTAACGAAACCAGAAATAGCTTTAGAATTTTAAAATTTACGCATTGCGTCAAATAGGGCAAAATAGCGTGCGAGGCGGTCGCGTTGCGGTCATTTATGGCTATTTGCCAGGAATCAACGCTGCGGGGGTGGAAAAGCCTTCTTAGTTCCTTTAAAGTAGATATCCTACTTACCTTCAGTTGTATCCTCCTCCCCTGAACGCTCCCATTTTGCGTTTCGACCCTCGGCGCCGGCAGCACGTCACCGCGCGAGGCCAACGACCCGACGGAGCCCATCGAACCCAGCGATACTGTAAATTGAGAAAATTATATAACTCAATTATCTATTTTATTACAAATTTATTGACTAAATATTTGCTCAATTTTTTTTGAAAAGTTATTTTATATTAAATTATTTACCGTTAATTATGACATCAAATATATTTAAACTGGCAAGAACCTCAAAATCTATCACTAAGAAGTTAAATACCCATCTTGGTATAAAAATCTAAAATAAAAATAAAAATAAAAAATAAAAAAAAATAATAAAAAATTCCTGATTATCAGCGCATAACTATTACGATAAAATTTAAGGTATGAAAAATTGCGAAACACATTTTTATATTTGTTGTTTAGCAATTAAAACCTATTATAAAATATTTACAAAGATTTCGCTTTACTTGGAAAACGCTCACACACTCTAATCATCCCCTCGAAAAAGTCTACGCTAGCAAGAACTTTGAAACAGTTATTTTTTAAAGAACTGAAGCTAGGCAATTGGCATAGATTTAATTAGTTTCGACGTGTTTTTGCCTACTTCTATCAGTCTATATCGACGTGTCTCTTACAAAATTTTAAATAAATTAAATTCTATGTGGTTTTGCAACACAATTGCGCGACACAACAAGTTGCGCGATTCTTATGGATTATTGATGGAAAAAATAATGAGAACTGGCTAAATTCCTCACTTGATTAAGAAGCTAAGTATACTTCTGGGTATACGAATTCCTGAATTATATTTTTCCAAAGCTCAAACTTTAGTTTAAATATTCTTCATTTTTATCATTTTTATTGTGTTCACAAGCGAAAATTTTCAATTTTTCGAGAATCGAACGGGTAACCCACTACCGATCACGATAAAATTTAGGGTATGAAAAATTCCGAAACATACTTTCTTACTTTCTTGGCTTGAGGACCATACTATTTGTTGTTTAGAAATTGAAACCCTGTATAAATTTAAAAAGATTTAGCTTTACTTGGAAAACGTTCACGCACTCTTACCATCCCATCTAAAAAGGTTTACGCTAGGAAGAACTTTGAAACATTAATTTTTTAAAGAACGAAAGCTAATCAATCTGCCATACATTTAATGAGTTTCTGCATACTATATTGTCCACTACAAAATTTTAAATAAATTCAGTTCTACGTGGTTTTGCAGCACAATTTTTTAAAGGGCCACTGAAGTTGCGCGTTTTTATGGATGTTTTGACGGAAAAATGAATGGGAACTGGCAAAAATTTCTCACTTCATTAAGAAGCTAAATACACTTCTAGATATATAACATTCATGCAACATTTTTTTAAGCGACAAATTATTTATTTTTATCAGCTTTTCGAGATCGGTAATACGGTTTTGCACGGAGAATGTTGCTGTATTTACGCGTTGACATGCGCTATCAATTATTAATGGTACTAAGATTTCAGGGATAATAAAAAATCCTGAAACATGCTTCTTAAACCTTGTCGGCCTTGAGGCCTAAATTATAATTGTTAAGTATCCATTAAATCAATATTAAAATTCAAGGTTCAGAAGAAAATCACTACTATAAAGGTAAATAAAACTAAGGTTTTAAAATTATGAAATATACCCTTTCAACGTATATAATGGCGGAATTCGTTTATAGTTTTTTTCTAACAAAGTGATATCTTAATTTTAGGTACCACTTTTCAGAGATCAGAAACATTTTTTAAACATTAACATGAGTCGATATTGTATTCTCAATTAGAACAAGCTTTAGGGCATTCGAAAACTTGAAATATACATTTTCAACTTTCAAGATATTGGCATGGGCCGGTGGGAAATTGGGACCTCGTGGCCCATACGCTTCCCCGGGCAATTTGCCACTCCCATTTCCACACAGCTCTCTCTCTCTCGCTCTCTCTCTCTCTCTCTCTCTCTCTCTCTCTCTCGCCTCGCGTTGTTAGGAGACGCGCCTTTTGAAAGGCTTTCGGCCCTATTCTCTAGTTTTTCTCGTAAATATTTTCGTCGTTTTGCCATACGGTAATATCATTACGTATTTAGTACCAGAGCGTAGCCATATTTCTGGAAACTTCTAGCAATTTCCGCGACACTTTTTGAGGTAAATATTTTTGTCTGGACTACGGCAGACGGCTATGTAATTAGTACCAGACGTAGTCTTGGCATGGCGAGTGCTGTAGATTGTTTAAAGGACCGGTCAAGGCGAGGAATTCTATAGATTTCGATAAAGGTTGCCGTTGGACGTTGTGCTAATTTCATGACTAGCTATTTATTATCCCAGAAAGTACGATCTACAAACTGTTGGAAAAAATCTAAATTTAATGACTTTTAGCGTTAAAACATGATTTATAAAATGTCGATTATTTTTGTTAAAATATTAAACCTGCTTAAAAAGCTTTGAGTTAAAAATGTTTAGGGAGCCTGTTCTCCAAATTCAAGCGGAAAAACCGAGTTTCGTCAATGTTAGAGCGCGCTGGAAAATGCCAAAGCCGATCGATTCGGAACAACGCGCTTTGGAATTCTTTGGGTGCAATATTGAAAAAGACGGGCTGATTTTCATTTGGTCGACAAACAGAATGCCGAAATTTGTTTTTATCGGACATCTTCTCGGCACGACTTTGATTGCATTTCATTTTACGCAAATCATTCATTGCAATTCGACATTTTTTAAAATGTTGGCTACAGCCAAGTCTAAAATTAGCTCTTTGCTCGCCTCTTTCCCCCTCAGGGAGGCAAGTGGTTGTCCGTATCCGTTTCCGGAAATGGACGCGGTCCTCAGCGGAGTACCACCCTGAAAGGGGGTAAACCGTTCTTCCCGCTCTCCACTCGCCTCAGACCCAATCATCGGTGGGTGCGAGGTGTCGCAATTTAGTGGGTACCAGCGCTGGCTCTCCCGGGGGGTAATAAATCAACATCCCATACACCGAAATCCCGAAATCCCGAAACGCCCGGTGGCTCCGGACCCGTCCGAACGGTCCTGGGGTCCCGCAGCGATCCGGTCGGACGGGCGGACGGGCGGGCGGACGGGCGCACGGACATTAGAAATTTATATCGCAATTTAGTGGGTATAGTGAAATGCATACTATAGAAATGATCCTATGAAGTATGATTTCAAAAATGTCTGATTGGTGAGGGGATTTGACTAGGTTGGGTGGATCAGGTGGGGGAAGTTTCGGGGCGAGGAAGGGGGCGGTACGGCTGGCTTGAACTACCCTCTATATCTCGTCGTATACGTATCCCATCGGAATGCTTTTTCTAGCATTTGAAAGCTTAAAAAACGGCGAGTTTACCTTAACAGCTTTGGTTTTATTTAGAAGCAAAATTGAGGGATAGTTTGGTAAATTAGTTTTTAGCTGGGGTGAGATTACGATATTTTCCGCAAAATTGTAGACGGAGGCCAATGATTTTTCCAGACGAATCTATTTTTCTTCTTAACGAATGGCACATCAATAAATTATCTTCATGGCGCAAAATGTCCTTTGAGCAAACATTTTTTTTTAAATTTCATTAGCGACCAAATTTGGTGAAATAAACTGTGTTTTCATTAATTTCGATTGAGAGCTAATTATTACGGCCATAATTCTTCAAGAAATTAGAGCTTCTGATAAAACACGATTTTTGGAAATTTTTGGAAACCTCTCTTTTTTTTGTAAAACCCACCTTTCGCTCGTAGTCTCATTTTGGCGTTTTTGCATCAAAGTTCTCGGACGTTTTCACTGAAAATTAAAAATTATAAAATTAATATGGATTACGTGAATAAGAGAACATTTTAATAGAAAGAGGAAAATAATAGGACTGCGGCCACCACAAAATTAGCTGTTAGAATTGTCGTTTGTCAACGACATTCCCTGAAACATTATAATCCACAAATGTTAGCAAGGGAATTTATAAACTTGATTGAATAAGTAACTTGAATGAGCCGGTTACTAAATATTATTATTCTTTATTACTATTGAGTATGCTATAAATCAAACTTTAAGGTTCAGGACGTATATTAGAGGGACCGGCAAGAATTTTGACAGCTGGGAGCAAAAAAAGACATCGAACAGTTTTGAAAGGCAGTGCATTAAATTTTGAGCATTAAAGCACCCGGCAATACTCCCTAGGTTACATAAAAAATTCCCTTCTAAAAGTTTGCAAAATCATGTTTCGCTAAAGATTTACTTTATGGGATATTTCAGCCTTTCAATAAGATTTCCGGCGTCCGGTCACTACCCCGAAAAGTCACTACCCCGAAAGTCACTACCCCGAAAGTCACTACCCCACAAAAAGTTACTCACCCCAGAAAAATCACTGAACCAGCCATCATTCACGAGTTACACTCGCGAAAAGTCACTTTACCCCGAAAAGTCACTACCCCGAAAGTCACTACCCCGAAAGTCACTACCCCGAAAAGTCATTACCCCGAAAAGTCACTACCCCGAAAGTCACTACCCCGAAAGTCACTACCCCGGGAAAAGTCACTACCCCGAAAGTCACTACCCCGAAGTCACTACCCGGAAAGTCATTGCCCCGAAAGTCACTGCGAAAGTCACTACCCGAAAAGTCATTACCCCGAAAAGTCACTACCCCGAAAGTCACTACCCCGAAAAAGTCACTCACCCCGGAAAGTCATTACCCCGAGAAAGTCACTACCCCGGAAAGTCACTACCCCGAAAGTCATCATTACCCCGAAGTCACTACCCGAGGTCGCCACTACCCGAAAGTCATTACCCCGAAAAGTCACTACCCCGAAAGTCACTACCCCGAAAAGTCACTACCCCGAAAAGTCATTACCCCGAAAAGTCACTACCCGAAAAGTCACTACCCCGGAAAAGTCACTACCCCGAAAAGTCATTACCCCGAAAAGTCCACTACCCCGAAAGTCACTACCCCAAAATCGTTTACCCCAAAAATGATAGCATTGTTTTTCCCGGAAAAATCCAGTTTTCATGCGGTTTTCCTATGAAAATCATGCAAATTATTTCGGGGTAGTGACTTTCGGGGTAGTGACTTTTCGGGGTAGTGACTTTTCGGGGTAGTGACTGTACCCCAAGATT